TATGCGTTTTCCAAAAAATAAAATGAAAATAAATAATTAAAAATCAACAAAATCAGTTATAACGTATTTTAAGACTTTCACATGTTTTTTACTGTATGTAGTGTTTTTGTGGGCTATTTATTGAGAAAACAACATTGAAGTTATTATTTTTGAATTTCTTGTAAAATTTCCTTTACTTGAGTTTTACTTTTATAATTCTAAGTTAAGAGAAAAAAAAGTTACGAGACATAAATCAGTTATTTCTATTAAATTTGACTCTTCGACTCAACTTAATAGGCCCGGGGGCACGGGTTAACCTTAACGGATCGGTCCCAAATTTTGCACAGCTCATTTTTTTGACCATTAAAAAAAAATTAAGGGGTAGCGTAAAAAAAAAAAGACATTCGATTTTTGAGGGCCACCCTAATATACACAATATTTATCCTTTCATTACATTTCTAACTAATTCATTCTCTGACATATTATTTACAGTTTTTACACATAAAGTTTATTTATTATTTATGGAAGCAACTATTTATCATCTCATTGCTTTCAGTTTTCTAATAACATACGCCAAATATATTATTTTGATTAGTAGGTTAAAATTCTTCTCTACATTTTTTTTTTTAGGGAAAGTTATTTGATTCAATATTATGACAAAAAGTTAAATTTCGATTTTGCAAAAATATAACTAAATATTGGGGTTTAACTTTTTAAGTTCAATTGTTAAGATTAATTGCTCTAATATACAGGATGATTTGTTCATCGTAACCCACTCAATTACTTACAGAATAAATATAATTTTTACATTTTAGCTTCCATGCCTAGCTGAGAAGGTATTAATTTTACTATGATGTTTTTTTTTTATTTTTATTTTTTAGTCTGTCGCCACTTTTTCTCAGCTCACACCAGGCCGATTTCTTTTAACGATATGTCAAAAGATCACAAAGAGTATCTAGTTGAAGACATTGCCCTTAAAAATTGAAAAAAATTCCCTCGTCTCCTGTAAATGAGGGAAATCCCCGAAAAAATTACGGTTTTTAAATGGTAAATTTCGACAATTTAAAATTTTTTTTTCTTAAAACTGCCATAATATTTTGAAAAATGAACGAATCAAAATAATATTTTTTTTTATTGAAGACTTAGGTATATCATTTGTTATCTTTGTGAACATTTGTCCCTTTACCTGCTTACAGGGGGATTCAAAATAGCGACTTCTGCACAAAAATTTAACTTTTTCAACATAAGTTTTGAAAATATTTCGGATATACTCTGAGCTTCGTCGTCGGGAAAATTTTATTTTCCCGACGACTTTATTCTATGTGTAAGTGGTTGCCGTAGTTAAAAAACATGCAATTTTGGTGTTAAAACTTTTGATTTCATATTTTAATTTTTCAACTTTAAATTGCTATATTTTGAAAAATGCATGGATTAATATAATTTTTTTTTTTTGATAAATACTTTAAAGGTACACTTTTTAGCCGATATATTTTTTTGTTTTTAACAACCCTGTTTTTTAAACCTATTTATAAAACTGTTTAACATAGCAACTCTGTGTTTTTACAATACAATGTAAGTTAATCGTGAATATAATCATATGAATAACTATTAGCGAATTGCCATAATTGAGGTTCAAAGTTTAAATTTATTGCATTTACATAAAAACATAATATTTAGGTTCAAAAATCGATGTTCAATCAATAAAAAATATCATAATAATTTAAAAAATTAAAAATTATACATTTATTTATGTAAGCTGATAAAAATTTCATTAGTGAACAAATTTTATTGAGTAGAGTGATTAATCAACTAATTTTTTTTTCATAGAAATAACCATTTATTAAGCTATATATAAGGTGTTCAGTAAGTAAGGAAACGGGTTTTTATTGTTCTCATTGTTTATAACAATTGACATGTTTCTTAATTTACTGAACAACTTATATATATATATATGAATATAAATACGTTTAAATTTACATTGTTAATTAATACTTGGTTTATTTAACTTTTTTAAGCAAAGCACGATTTGAAGATAGATGGGAAGATTATCATTTCCACCAAACTGAACTTCTACCGGTCTATATTCTAAAAAATTTGAGAACCACTTAGTTTTGCCCATGCGTCACCATGACGAACCAGTATCGGTTTTAGCATACGGGCAGGTTAGGTAGCTACTAGTACCAAAATGTTTGGCTTTTATTGAATGTTACGTTCAGGTCTGTATTAAGATTTTTGTATGGAGTATTAATATTAATGAGCAAAATAGAGTAATTTTTTGTCCCATCATTATCAAATGACATTCGCCCCCTCTTAATCATCCCTAAATATGATCACGTCGTTTTTAATAATTACTTATTTTATCACTTCTGTATAACTTTATAAAGAAAATATGACATTTTACCTAAGATAAATAAATTATAATAGATAAATATCTTAAGTATGTATAAATATATATTTGTAATAAATAATAAAAATATAGTTTATAAACAAATAAAAAGTCATCAAAACAATGAAACAAAATTCAAATATTAATAATAAGCTTAAAAAATATCTAATACGTGTAAGAATATAATAAAAAATAGATCTATGATCTATACATTTTTAGATAGTTATTGAAGACTAATATCACAAATTCAAATCGGCTAATTTCATTTTTTTTTTATTTATCAATTGTCTCTTTTGTTTTTCTGAAACGGATTTCAATTTCATTCGTACGCTTTTTGAAAATGTATTACAAAAACTATATATTTTTTTGTAATTATAAGACTAAATAATTTCTATTAAAATGTTTAATAATATATTAATAGAAGGATGTGCCTTAAAAAATTATTCAATAAAATGTGGTTGAAACGATTCACAATTATCAGTGTTCGATTAAACGAATAGTAGATAATTATTATCGGGTTATTTTGGCAAAAATTTTAACTAGTGGTTCTCAAGCTTTTATTTATAGTCAGGTACAAACTATCGGTTTGGCGGAAACGATGAACACCTGATAGATGTTAAACACTAAAAATAAAATAAACATTAAAATTATACTACAAAATATTTCTTTTTAATTGTTTAATTTGACAAAGAAAAAAACGATTTAATGTTCTATTAGTATAAATATTATTATTTAGATATTTCTTAAAACTATTATTTAAACGATTAAAATGTATCAATCATAAATAACAAACAAATTTCTAGCTTATATCCTTTTTTTTTATATAGTTTCCTACATTTTCCTCATCAAATTCCATTTACTTGGGTCGGCAACTCTTATCTTAAACTTCCACTTGAGACGATCTTCCACATCATCTACGCTCAAACCAGCCATCCTCATGTCACATTCAATAACATCTCTCNGAAACAATCTTCCACATCATCTACGCTCAAACCAGCCATCCTCATGTCACATTCAATAACATCTCTCCATCTCTTTTTTGGTCTTTCTCTAGCTCCTCTTCCTTCAACATTCATTTTTATAACTGTTCTTACAGCTTCCGATTCCTCTATCCTCATAACATGACCAAACCATCTAAGTCTATTCTCTCTCATCGTGGTCTTATATATTCGTTCCTTATTTTCTCTATTCACTTTACTCATTCATCTAAGAATTCTCATTTCTACTACACTCATTCTCTGCTTTACTTCTTGTCAAACGCCCAACGTTCTGAATCATACATCATAGCTGGTCTCACTACAGTCATAAAATTTACCTTTCAGTCTCATTGGAATTCTCTTATCGCATAACATACCGACGTTTCTTTCCACTTCATCAACCCACATTTAATTTTGTGTCTTATATCCTCGTTTTATTGCACAACTAATCCTTAATGCTTAAAATATATCAATCCTAAATAATAAATAGAATTCTATCTTATATCCTTTTTGGATGTATTTTACCCTACGATCATAATTAAAATTTTTATGTTTATTTAAAATTAGAAATTAAGAATTAGGTGAATTTAAATTTGAATTTAGACAAAAGCTATTTTTAAATGTAAAAAATGTAAGAAATTTTTTATATATATAATAAATTTATAGGAATTATACCGTTTTGTTTAATAATTTCGTTGATATTTTTTTTTTGTTAATCAATTTTTTTTTCGATTCATGCTCTCTTCAAAAAATATTCCTCAATTCCATACCTACGAAAGGTAGATATGGAACTTAAATAAACCTAAAGTTATTTATGAAAACATGAAACAGTAATAAGACAAAACATTTAATTTTTTTAAACTTTCACTTATGTTTACAAAAAAAACATGTTTTTAATTTTATAGTGTAAAGGATACAAACAAATATCAAATATATTAAAACAAAATATTAAAAAAAAAAAAACAAAAATTTGGTTAACATATCAATGAGTTTGTTAATATTAGTTGTTTTGGATTTAAGTTGGATTTTTTAAAAATGCTCTCTATCGTAAAAGGTTTTTTCAACACCATTTTTGTACTTTGAATTAATTCCAAATTATTTAATAAATTAAATAGATTCAAAAAACTAACACCCAAATTTTAATATCATAATGTGTGATGAAGGCGAAATTTTTATTACTTTATATACGGTTGAGAATTGTCTGATAATCATCCCAAAGAGACATTTAAGAGTTTTGACTATTTTTGTTTTTATTTAATTTTTGTAAAATTTATTTAATTCAAAATTATCAGATAATAATAAACATGTATCTTTAGGTACAATTTTAACAAAATGTTTGGAGAGCCTTATGAATATTTAATTCCCCCTCTGTACATTTTTTTTGTTATATAATTGTATATATATAGCTTTTCTGGAATTTTGGAGGAGCTAAGCCTCTCCAAATCCTCCCCACCTAATTGGTGCCTATATATTTATCATCCGCATAAGTAGTTATTGAACAATCAATTTTCATATCACTTATATTACTATAATATATATAATAAATAAAATAGGATCTAGTACACTACCATGAGGCACACCATAACTTATATTGCATTTATTGCTTAAATAGTTATTTATCAAGACACATTGAGTTTTGTAATATCTTGAANATATAAATAATAAATAAAATAGGATCTAGTACACTACCACGAGGCACACCATAACTTATATTGCATTTATTGCTTAAATAGTTATTTATCAAGACACATTGAGTTTTGTAATATCTTGAAAATCATTATCAACTCCAAATTCAGGTAACAAGTTTAATATTTTTTTATGATCTACAATGTCTAAGATTTTTTGCATAATAAAAATAGTTATTTTTTAATTATTATTTTTATTTTTTCATTATCGTAATTATATTATAAATGTCTTATATTGCATCAATAGTTCTTATACCTTTTCTAAACCCATATTGGTTTTTTGATAAATGTTTGTTTTCCTACACAAAATTAATTTATCTTATTTTAACAATTTTCTCTAAAAAGCTATCTATAATTTATTTGTCCTCATTTTTAAAATGTGATTTAATATTAGTAATTTTAAACTATGATGGAAAATGCTTTCTATTAAACTTTTATTATAAATATAAATTAATAAATGTTAATTTATTTTTTTTTCAATGAAATTTTTTATACATACTTTTATTAATCAATTTTTCATCAGTGAGTAATTTCATTAATTAAAATCCATATAGAATTTGATCTTTTTAAATTAAATTAAATTTATTCTCATAAGAAAATTTATCAATTTTTATTAGATAATTGAATTTATTTTATAAGTTTTGTACAATTTTATTAGTGTTTGATTTAGAGGATATTTTTTATTTTTGGAGATAATTCATATTTTTCACGCGTGGAGTGCAATAAACCAATCATCCATCATTTTATTTTTTGCATTAATATGAACTAACAGTTCTTAAAATTAGTGAGAGGATAGGGTTTCATCCCATTACAGAAATGTTCAATGAAGTTTGAATTTTTTAGTCGTGAACTTTTTTGAATTTTCGTTAAAAAAATTTTGGTGAGCAAAAAAATTATTGTTAAAAAAAACTCAGTTTTCAATTTTAAGTTTGCATCTAACTGAATTATAATCAATAGAATTTAATTTAATTGTATTCTGCTTATCATTTTTAATAAAGAAATTGAAGTTATTACAGGACATTGTTTTGTTATAATATTATTATATTAGTAGTACACCTGCTTGAATATTACTAAAAATAATATTGTGGGAAACTTAATAATTAAATGATTTAAACATAAATGCGTTTGTTTTATTTGAACTGTTGTAAATATATTTACAAAAGAATAAAAATCGTTCGACGATAACAAGTCTAAATACTGACCACTTGCATTATCATTACTAGTATTTTTGTTGGTATCTCCTGTAATACGTGTACGAATCATTTAGCAATTTATCATTATATAAAATTCATTAAAATAGGTCAGAAATTCATTATTGTTTAAAGACGGAAATTAATATACATATATATAATTTGTTAAATGAATTACTACGTGATATAATAGACATATTTAACTTAACAGTATTACAAGCATATTCATTAAAATCATCAGGAAAACAATTTCCATTAATACAATAAAATTCCACCATTTTTTTTTCTTTTTACTTTTGTGTAATACATTTGAAAACCGTTTATACTACAATTACAATTTTTAATATGTTGCCATGATTTTGTTAAAATAATTATAACTAAAACAGAAACTTAATTCTCAAATGATAAAAAACAGTATCAAAAAAACTTCTGCGTTTCTTATATTTATACGAATTGCATAAGAATAATAATTTTTGTATAGATAAAAATCATTAAAATATTTGACAATAGTTTTATAATTGAAAAAATAACTAGTGACATTGAGTTTTTTAATATTTAAAATATTATAATATTTAAAATGTGATATAGGTATTAGGAAATGTTAATAATTATTCATGGACAATTATAATATCTTTTGAGTTTCATTTTTTTACAAATATTTTTTCTTTAAATCATATAAACTTAAAACCTATTTCATGTGATAAACTTTTGGCCTTGAATATTTATATTAATTTGTATCATTTGCTTATTAATGTATAGATTGTCCTTTTTTCAATGTAGATTTAATACATTAGTTTAAAATTTTATTTTTTCTAACTTCAGTTAACAATTATTGTTTATTTTCTTTTGAATTTATAGTATCACTAATTTTAGCATAAGATTAATTTCTAATAACCTTCCTGAACAATAAAAATGTTTATATTATTTTTGATAGCCTTTTATTCCAATGAATTATATTCTTTTGTGAAGATGTAAACTACTTCCGATAACTTATCAATTTGCTCTTTAATTAGTTTATTTTATAATTTAATATCTTTTAAAAAACAACAAATATCATAAAGTGAATTTTTAAAAATTCATCTATCTGCTATTACTGATATTACTTATCAAATTGTTCGTTCATAAAATATAGATTTTACCGTGCATTCAATTGTTTAGTATAAAAGTATTCTCAGTTATCATGTTTTAATCAATTTGAATATATATTGATTTTTAAATTTAATAATTAGTGTAAATTGTTTGTTATTATTTGCATAACATTAATTTATTACAATAACAAATTTAATCGTATATAATAATAACGAAAAAAGCTTATGAAGATGTTAGGTTATTACCATATCATCGGTGATTTTTGTTCGACATTAGAGTACTTCTCTATACAGTCTATAATGTAGCTATAAAAATTTATTATTTATGGTGAGAGTAAGGTTATTAATTTTTGTTATTTATTTTTTTTACCACTTCTGCAAAAAATCTAAGTGAATTTCTATAAATTATTTTACAACAATAAAGACATACATATTAATAAATGTAAAAAATAATTTTACTCAGTGTTGTTAAAGAACGCATTAAATTACTAACCATAATTACAAAATGATAATTATTAAATGTGTTCCTGTGAGAACTGAGAATCTTCATGGATAGATATAAAAAGAAACACATCAGTAACTTATTGAAATTTTTTGTTTTTACTCGCCTAATAACAAAAAAACAAATAACTAGAAAAATATTGCAAATTTTATTGTTCATAGTTTAAATTATGTTATAATAAAAAATCCTGTATTAATAAAATGTTTTAAAAACCTTTTAATATTTACCTGAATATTGAAATTTTGAGATAACGTGCTGTCCAATTATACCTTTTTTTATTCCTATATTGAAAATATTTAATTATGTATTTTAATAAATTATACTAGACTTGGGTTAAATTGTGAAATTTTTTTTTGAATAAAAAGGAGATTTGGAAATTAACTTTTTTTTTCAAGAGACGAGCAATTGGATAAGTTTCTTTAAAAAAGTAAGGATTTGAACGGAAATATAATTTTCTTTTATAAAAAGAATTTTAACAACAATAACTTAATTAAAGTTTTTTTTGTCTATTTATTTTATAAGCTTTTAAAAAACAATAAATACAAGGAATTCAAGCCTGCCTTGATAAATTCTGTAACTTTTGATTCACTGAATATATTGAGTTACTTTTATTTTTAAGTAATTTTTACAGTTTTGTACTACGTTAAAAGCATATTTTTATTATTTATCACCCATAAGAAAAGAAAAATTACATATATAATTAAACAAAATTTAAATTATCATATTTTTGTTAACAAATTTATAAGATATGGTTATGGTCATAAAAATAATGACTATAAAGTGTGTTATGAGGTGCAAAAAATGTTATAAATTAAACACTTTGCTGAATTGTGTAAAAGAAACAATCAAACTAATTACAAAGTAAGAATAAATATTATGAGTAATAAATATTGAGTATTAAAAATTCATAATGAAGTGCAAAATAATGTTGAACAATATGTTGTACTAAGTCTTATAAAAACTATTTGAACTAGTTGGTTTAAGAATGAAAAAATAAACGACAAAATTGTGGTCCAAAAATTAACACAGGAGCAGAGATTAATATAATGCCCACGAGATGTTGTATAATGAAAAACTTAAACTTAAGTTGGAGTATTTAAAATTAATTCTACGGAGAAAGGATAGAATAGTTATGATAGATAACAAAATATCAAAATTTGTTTAAATATAGCATCAGTTGGGTATCTTGCTCTAGTCACAAGTTTGGCATGTACTACCAGTCCGCAATGTGCAATATAATTACTTGTTGTTCCTTCACACTAGTGAGTGTACTAGCTGCCCTATTTTCTTTATTCTACTTTTGTTTTTGTTATACCCATATTTTTCTTATAACTCGCAGTTCTTTATCAAAATATATTGTTTTGTACGAGGCAGCTAGTCCGTAGGACGGCTAGTTGTGCACCGCACTAGAATGCCTGTTTAAATCGCTAATTATTGAAGCGTAAATGGGTCACCTAGGGGATGACGACTAACGGTGTATCCAATAAGTAACGAGAATAGACAATAATTAAATAATAAATAACCACATAAACTAGAAATTCTTCAGAGGGTTAAATCTTAAATTTAAAGGGTAGCGGGGGCCCTTAAAAACTAATGGCCGGTGAAGCGGCATAAACAAAATAATTAAACTCAATTAAAACAAACAATAAATAACATTAAAAAATAATATATAACTCAGCTGAATAGATGAAGCTGTTGATAGTAGTGATTGGACTGTATGAGATCTTGCGGCAATGGTGTCGAACATCTCAGTATGAATCAGAGTGTAGATCCAGGCACGTAATGGCAGATGAGAACAGACGACGGAAAAGCGATTCCGGCAATGAAGACAGTGGCGTACACAGAAATTAAATTTGGGGTTTTTTTTTTGAAATTTAAAGAACATTAGATGTGACACTGCCCATATTGTTCGCTCACAAAAATTCCTATTTTCGATTACTTTATTGTGGAAATATTTATAGTATGATATGATCTTTTTTATTGTTATTACTTATTGTTTATTTATAGTTCGAATTGTTTGGAATTTACTTGAACATGTGTGTATTTTTTCGATAAATATCTAATTATAGTTCCCCTCTACTATTTTAACTAATAGATCCAAGGAAGGCTATTTTTTTTTACTTCCTGTTCAAATGTGAACTTAAACGATGGATAAAAAGTATTTAAATGTGGTATGAAGACTTCCGTATTAAAATCTTTGTCTATTACTGCAAAAAAAATATCTACAAACCTATGTTTTGTTTTTTTAGCCAGTCATTAAGAAAAACACTTATTATATTTATCTGAATACTAGAAAATAAGGCTACTACCTTAAAAGGAATTAACCTACCATTATTTTGAATAGTATAACAAGATAATTTTTGAACTAAATCAATATAATTTTCAACTGAAAATCTATCGAATTTTTGAATATATGAAAATAGCCTTATTTTGCAAAATAGTTAGTTGGGGCACTAATATTCGATACAATAGGTCTCATTTTATTTCCCGGGTTATGTATTTTTGGCAAAGCATATAGTTTAACTCTTTAAGGGTTTGAAATTTTAACAAAAACCTGAACTTTTCTTGAAATTATTAATTTTGAACTATTGATAACGTTCATAGCCTATTATCAATGTACTTAATGGATGATTGTTAATTTATTTATATCTTTAATCAAAATGTGATAATATTACTAAGTAGTGATACGTCACTAGGGATATATAATTATATTATTTCCAGTCGGAGTGTCAGTATGTGATTAGCGTTGTTCCCGAAATACATATCCACTATTTTAGCTTCGATGCGAAGCTGAGAAAGTAATGGTTTTACTAAGATGTGTTTTTTTTGTATCTGTTACCACTTTTTCTCAGCTCTCACCGAACCGATTTCTTACAACGATACGTCAAAAGATCACAAATCGTATCTAGTCGAAGACATTACCCTCAAAAATTGAAAAAAATTCCCTCGTTCCCCGTAAATAGGGGAAACTTCTAAAAATATTACAAATTTAAAAATCGTTAATTTTCGAAATTTTTTCAATTTTTTTTACTTAAAATTGCCATAACTTTTTTAAAAATAACCAAATCAATATAATTTTTTATAGATGCATGACATCATTACCTTTCATATGGTATATTTTTTCTTTTTATCTGACCCTTTATCTGCCCACAGGGGGGATTTAAAATGACAACTTTTTCACAAAAATTTTACTTTTACACTTAATTTTTGAAAGTTTTTCGGAAAGTCTGACACTTTTATATATACCTTAAATTAAAGCTAATGTAATGTACTTAATTATGTAAAAAAAAAATTTCGGACTTTATTTTGTCTTCACGGTGTAAATGGCTACCGAACGCTATTTTTGTGTGAAAGTTCTCGATTTTATTTTTTACATTTTTAACTTTATAATGCTATAACTTATTGAAAAGTGTATGGATCAACACAATTTTTTTATGAGAAATAATACTTTTTAATAATCCCTTTTTCATTCGACATATTTTATCTTAATCAGGATATTAATAAAGAACTAACAGATTATGTAGCTTTTGGAATAATCCATCAATTTTTTAAAATTAAACACTATCTAAAGATTTGCATAGAAGCCTTTTTTTTTTATAGTGATTTTAATCATTGCCAGATATCATTATACTTTATCCAACTATGCCGAGACCCCCCTGTGCTAGGTTTTTATTATCCTGAATGAAAAAGGGATTATTAAAAAATATTATTTCTTATAAAAAAAGTTGTGTTGATCCATACACTTTTCAATAAGTTATGGCATTATAAGGTAAAAAAAAATGTAAAATATAAAATCGAAAATTTTCACACAAAAATAGCATTCGGTAGCCATTTTCACCGTGAAGACAAAATAAAATCCGAAATTTTTTTTTTTTCATAATAAAGTATATTACATTATCTTTAATTTAAGATATATATAACGAGGGAATTTTTTTCAATTTTTGAGGGTAATGTCTTCGACTAGATACGATTTGTGATCTTTTGACGTATCGTTGAAAGAAATCGGTTCGGTGAGAGCTGAGAAAAAGTGGTAACAGATACAAAAAAAACACATCTTAGTAAAACCATTACTTTCTCAGCTTCGCATCGAAGCTAAAATAGTGGATATGTATTTCGGGAACAACGCTAATCACATACTGACACTCCGACTGGAAATAATATAATTATATATNATACCTTTAGAAATATTTTTTGTTAATAATAAACTTGAAATTATTCTGGTTTATAAAAATTAATCAAATTTTAACAAATACATTTTATTAAAAATTATTAATTGACAAAAAAAAGGTGGAATATTTTTATTAAATCAGATTATGTGTAAATGTTTAATTAAAATAAACTATTTTGAGCGAAATGATAATTTACGATATACCGGGTTAAAATTATTTTTTAAACCTAAACTATTAGGGGAGTATCTAATAATGAAATTGATTAAAAAGAATTCCTAATCTAAGATGTACAGAGTAAAGAGTTTATCATAAACTACTCTATTACTTGCAGAATAAAAACGATATTGAAAAATAGTTTTTGGTTTTTTAAGTGACATATATTTCTTTTACCAAATATTAATTACTATTTAAAAATATCCCATATAAATTATAGAGGTGTCAAATTTGTTTTTTAAAATGGTGCAACACTTATTAACAGGCTTATAACCTTCAGTCTTTACTTTATATTGTTAATAACTTTTTTTACTGGTCCAAAAGTTTTTTATTTTCTTAATTGAATCATTATTTATTAATTAAGCTAGTTGATGATGTAGGTTGCTACTTGAAAAAATAAAGTTAACACTCCTATAAGTTATAAGAGACGATTTTAAAAAGCAATTAATAGCTGATAAATTAAGAAATATATGTAACAAAAAAAAAACCAAAAATTTGTTTTTCATAATTATATTTATTCTGCGAGTAATCGAGTGGTTAATTATCAACTTGAAGTGAACTATGTACCATTTATTTATTATTGTTCTTTATTTAAAATACATTCTTTGATAACTGTACTTTGTTTCATTCATTTATAATTATTTATTAATTACTTTTTATTTGTTACCAGGCCAACTCATTCCCTTGATTATATTTGTCGAACCCTATTTATTCAAGGTTGGTGCGTTTTGTTTAGAAGATCCTTACCCTTCTCTTCAAATACAGTTCACTTTGATTTAAAGTTACAGGTACTAGGGTAAGTGACATAGAGTTTGAACACTCCCGCTCAAACTAATCTTAGAGACTAAAATTATTATAGTTGAAAAAAATATAAAATTATTATTAAAATTAAAATATAATAGAAAAATGAGTATATAAATAGTGTTAACAAACTTACAAGAAAAATTAAATGCAAACAAATATGAAATTAATAGAAAAAGCAAGAAATGAATAAAAGAAAATAATATAAGAAATATAGATATTCCCTCGAAAATATATTTTCGAGGGATTAGGAGTATTTCCAGGTAAAGTTTTATTATATAAATTGTATTAAGTTAAAATAACAACCCTCTTAGAGTAATAATACTTATGAAGCGATTGATATTGTCTTATGGTAATTGTTGTTAAATAAGTACATATGATTCAGTAAAACTAATAATGTAGTAGCAATAACAATTTATTTTTTTTTAAGTAAGAGACTATTTCATTATTTTAGATAAAATCATTATCAGCAAATTTACTGTATACACTAGCAATTTTTTAACAACAAACGGTAAAATAAGATATGTTAAAGAAAAAGATATGAAGAAAATGATAGAATTATATAAAAAAAAATTTTACACCAAATATTGGTTGTAGTCAAAGATTATTTTCCATGAAAATTATCATCGCTTGAATGAGCGTGGATAATTTTAAATAAAATTGATACCGACTTATTTAATTTAGTTATTTAATATAATTTCTGTGATAACTTAATAATTTATGCTATAGTATTGAAATTTTATAAATAGGTAATTAAAAATAAGTAATTATTTAATTATGTTGCTTGTAAGGTGTAACCAAAGCAAATATTTCAAAACTAATAGATATATTAATAAATTTACCAAAAATGCTGCCGAATTTCAAGATTTTTTTTCATTTTAAGAAATTTGTTTTTCAACAAGATTAAATTCGGGGTTTTTAACGTAGTGATTAGTAAAATTGGTCCAGAGCGAGCTAAAAATATTTATGGACAGGCACATAAATAAACGCACATCTTGGTAAATATACTACCTTCTTAGCTTCGAAACTAAAGAGATCAATTAATATTATTATATCTATGTAGTGTTTAATTAATGTTGATTGATTACATAACTCTCTTGGGAATCCTATTTTGAAAATAATAAATAAAAATTTGTATAACTTTAAAATTTATTTAAAAACTATTATTAACCGAAATCAAAACTTAAAGCAAAATATCAATAAATTGAAAAACTTAAACCTTAAAAACCAAAATTATTAAAAAAAAACCCTATTGTAATCTAAAAAATCATTTCGGTTCCCAGCAATAAGTTGTAATAATAATTATCAGGAATAAGATTATAAATAAAATTATAAATTATTAATACATTAATAGGTTAGTTAATGACACAATTTTCGTATATATTTTACAATATATACAATTATAACAATTAAATGTATTATACAAGAAATATAAAAACTTATATACACCAATGTGGATAGGGGGCAGTGTTGAGAAGGAACTGGTTCCAAAAGGAACGGATTCCTGGAACGAGTTCTTTTTGAAAGAACGATGCTAGGAACTGCTTCCTTTTAAAATAAAGGAACGAGGAAAATGAACAAATTCCATTTTTTAAGAAACGTGAACGGAAATTACAGTTCCTAAAAATTTTTATAAACATGTTTTAGTGTAGTTTTCCTTGTATCTAGACATTAAAATATTAAGGTATTTTTAGTTGACTTTTGACAATGGAAGTCCCCTATATACCCAGCCGAGATCGTAGGCTGTTTAAATGAATCAATTGACTATAAATAGAGTTATTATCACATGTAGGTATACAGTAAATATTTAATATATGTGTACATATATTAAATAATGCACCAAATATTATCATCGATTCTTGTTAACTAATATATGTTAAAGGTTTTGGGTTTTCTGATTTATTATTTCTAACTTATATGTAGACAATAGACATTGGTCGCGTTGACACAAGTCGTTAGCATTTACTACCTGCTTATAAATATAATTTTCGAATACTTTTAAATAAGGAATACTACAAATTTGTTTTGTATTCGACTGCTGATGAAAATCATTGATGACAGTTATCATGATCTCATTACCACAATTTTTTAAATAACTTGGTTACATAAAAGGAACGAAGAGTGGAACGAGTTCTTATTTTGGAGGAACTGGATCTGGAACAAGTTCCTTCTTAATATAAAGAACTAGGATCTGGAACGAGTTCATATTTTAGAAAATGAACGGGGAACGGAACGAGTTCCATTTAAAAAGGAACTTTCCCAACACTGATAGGGAGACACCTAATACTAATGCCACAAAGGCGCTGATATAAACAAATAATAAATTATACAAGTGAGTAAGTCTTAGAAAGGTAGATAAACAAGCATTATACTTATCGGCTAATTGAAACGGCTGATGATAATGTTTAATATTGAAAGGATCAATTGAAGTTGAATGAAAGTAGCCCACCAAGGTGTACAATATGCTGTAAACGGTACTGTGATCTATCTTAGAAAATATATAGACCCAACGGCGATAAACTGAGCACACGGGTGCGACAATCTTCAATGGTGATATTTTACTTTTACAACAACACGTATACAAAACTAGTGGCTTGCAAGCGCCCTAGAGCTTATAGCTGAAGAAGCGTTAAGATGGCGGCGACAATGCACATATAGAGAGAAGACCGACAACAACTCGATGTAACACAACGATAACATGAATAATTACAACACAATTTCTCGACAGCAAATTCGACCGATGTGTATCCAACAATTTTTAAATACTGAATTCCAATTAAATGGTACCAAGTACCAAAAAAAAAAAAAATAATAAAAAGTTACCTAATGACTGTAAACTTTTCGATTGCATCTACACAATGCACTTTTCTTAGAGAGATATTATTTTTAGTCTTTAAACAACATGAAAAACATTAAAAATCTATAGAAGTTCAAAAAAAAATGATAAGTGTTGGGAATGTATAAAACACTGAGAAACCATTCAAATACAAAAATATTAAGAAACCAATAGTATCAATATTTAAATTAAATGTTTTTTTAAAGAATTTACGATATTTGTATTATAATGTGACTATCTATATTATAGTATAACTAGAATCACAGACTGTATGAAAACAGATAGCTCACTTGGGCCGATAAAAAAACAGTGCTCTGGTTGGTAGCAGAAACACCAATGTAATCGTAAATCTGAGCGCAGTCAATTTTTTATTTTAATTTATTATTAAATCTGCTATGAAAATGTTATTAAATTTTAATAATAATCACAGTTTTCGAATTAACTTATCTAAACCAATACCGTGAGTGCTGATAAAAATGGCAGAACCCACTCCTTACATCCAGGCATTGCTTTAAATTATTAACAACTTCTGAATACTAGTAGAAAAGTTGTTATGGCCAGTCATTTTTTTAATTACATAATTATCTTTTTTATAAACTAGTTAAATACATATGTTGTGATTAAAAAAAAATAATAATGTTGATACCCCTTATAAGACATAAGGAATGAACATAAAAAGTATTTTATAACAGATGAGTTACGTAGACACGTATGTAACTAATAAAAGCTAAAAAAAATCTCTATTTTAAGAGAAATGAGTGGCTAATGTTAAAAGAATGACCTTGTAGTTGCATTAACACATGGATAGTATAAAACATCTTATCAGCGGTCATCGAGGGTTACAAAATTAAAGCCATTATAACGAAACTAAATTTTTTTAACGCTTTATAAGCCTATTAAGGGCCGTATGGGCCTCTCCCAAACGAGGTGGTATTTTTACCATTGATACTCAGAGTCGGTTGGTTAGTCCGTCGCCGGAGAAATCCTTTTTTTCCGATGACTCCAATTACCGAACTGATCTCTCGTTCGGCAAATGAAGTCGCCCGTAGCCGAGTTTTGAACTTAAGGCAGTGCGCGTCAAGCACTACCGCGTTACTATTGACTCAGCCACACTATCCCTCAACGAAACTAAATACGAAATGTTTTATATAAGTCTATGTAAGAATATATCCAGTATTGTAAACAAACCATAAAGTATTATAAATACGACATTTCTTGTTTCTTTCGTGCACCCTTTTGAAGAAAAAACAGTGGTCATTCAACTTGGCCCGAGTCACTTTGATTTAAGAGTTCTCCTATAGATCGCAGTGCAAAAAAATAATGTTGACTGATTATGTGATGGCTGGTTATAAAAAATTTGCCGATTAATGAATTATTATAGTTTAAATTCTTTGTATTTTAATTTTTTTAATTAATTATTTAAAAAAATATGAGCATTTTATCAAGTTGTTATTTGATTGGTCGCACTAGACAGTTAATTATCCAAGCAGAACATCACATTCCACAGGTTAAATTTTAAATAACTATTTTTAGTAAATTCCCACAAAATATTTTTAACCAATAAGGATGACATAATAAATTAACATGTTTTAAATGCCAATAATTTTTTATTTATATAATTTTTACTAAATGCTACTTTATACAAATTTGTTTAATAAATTATTCAATACTATTTTTAATTTTATATGTGAAATAATTGTGATATGAGGAATAAATAATGTACGTATAAACTTTTAGTGAAATTGCATATTCGTGATTACATTTTTTTCATCATTATAAAATATTAAATGTAATAAAAATTGATTATATAGACATTCCAATATGTAATATTTATCTATTATTATGATTTAAATTATATTTTGATGAATTATAATTAATTGAATTTTTACACACTACTAATCATCTATACTATTGAAAAATAGTTTATTAATGTAATTTTTTATATATTCTTTGAATCTTTAGTAAAACTTACTTAATGAATTAAAACAAATTAAAAAAGAATTAATAATAAATATGCATTATTTCTTTCAATCCTTTTAATAAATATTATTTAGTTATTTTAGTAAAAATTATGCTTTATTAATTATTATCAATCAAAACCATTATCAGCTAATTTGTTCCTTCAGGCCTGCTATCTAGAGGAAAATACATTAACATTAATATGCCTCAGATATGGGTTGAAGACCGCTGCTTTTTCTTCAGTAAATCGACCTAACGATTTAACTAATTTAACCTAACTAAATCATTATAATCCCAACGTATAACAATTATTAAAAGAACAAAACTAAAGCAAAATATTAATTAGGTCAAAAATGATAAGAAATGTTAGAATAAAAAGATATAAAACTAATAGTTCAAGAATTAGACTAGCAAAATAATCTTTTCATAATTTAATAATAGTTATTGGCCAATGACTGAAATAGTAACATTATACTTTTAGATCATAGATTGCTAAAATGGATAGACCCAAGCTTTATATTAACGAAAATACCTTACAACATGAAATAGCTTTGGAGTTTTTAACAAAAAATTTGCTTGAATTAAAATGGAAATTAAACGAGAATGTATTAGATATTGGATGTGGTCCTGGCGATGTAACTGTAAAAAAACTACTTCCTCTAATACAAGATAAAATTAATAAGTTGGTAAGTCAAAAAATAAATATTCATAATGAAATATTTACTTTTATCTACTAAATATTTTAGATTGCTGTTGATAAATGCAGTGAAATGGTTGAATTTGCCAATGACTGTTATAATGTTCCAGAAGTAGAATTTCAAATTATGGATATTCAGGACTCTTCAACTTGTTTGTTTTACACGGAATATTTTAATAAGATATTTTCATTTATGTGCTTGCATTGGGCAGTTGATCAGCAAAAAGTCATGAATAATATATATTCTATGTTGAAAAGTGATGGAGAAATTTTGATAACGTTTTTAAAATACAATCCATTTTTTAAAATTTATGAATCATTGGATATGGAATTTCAAAAATATGTCAAAGTAAAATGTTGAAAATAATTATTTTTCACTACAAAAAATAATTTTCTCAATTGTTAACTTTAGAACATCATGCCTAAGCCAGTACCAACTTTAAGTAGTGAAGAATTAAAAGCTCATATTGAAAATACTGGATTTAAAATCATAAAATTTGAAGAAATTACAAAATTATTTACTCATAAAAATACCTCCGATTTTTTAAGTAAATCTTCTTAATTTGCTTACTTATTTAAAATTAATTCATTTTTATAAAGTAGTGAAGTCATAATTGGGAAAACTATATAGAAGAACAACCATTTACATAATTATCTTGACCAAAAAATAAAAATATTATAGTTACATACGAATTACAGAATTATTAACTTTTACAGTTGAATATTTAATATACATTTAATGTTGGTTCGAGTATGTTATAGTTGATCCTAGGGGCGTCATTTCATTTTTTTTTTTTGGGTGTGAAAGATTTCAAGTAGGTCATTTTGAAATTTCATCAGGTCATATAAAAATAGACATATCTACTTAAGTAAACAAAAAAAACCCAACCCAGCACAGTAGGGTCGTAGCATAGTTGGGACGTGTCATAGTTGGTATAAGAAAGATGAAATCTGATAGTGATTAAAATCACTATCATAAGAAACGCTTCGATGCAAATCTGTAGATAGTATTTAATTCTAAGAAATTGGTGGATTATTCCAAAAGTAAAGTAAACACCTATATTTTGTTCTACATTGACTGCATTTTCACATAAAAAATAGGTCATCGTTACAAATTTTTTTTTTTTTGAACTTCTAGCACATAAAACAAGCTTTATTTTAACATATATTTAAAAAACGCAATATTCCGGAAAATGTTCAAAAGTTAAGTTGAAAAAGTTCTACTTTTTATACAAATTTTCAAGTTATTAAAAATCAAAGTCATTTTTCTTAACTTTGAGGAGGTAAAATAATCAAAATAAGTTTATATTTATATTTAATGTGGAATAAGGCACTAGTAGATTTAATTAGTGAGATAGAGGTATGGGAGGCTGTGGCATCAATGAAAATGAATAAAGCAGTAGAACCAAACAAAGTGCCCGTAGAATAATGGAAAATATTAAGCGGTGTTGGCATAAGGTTGTTGAAGGATTTTTTTAATAAAATCTTATTAGAAAGGAAAATTCCAAATTAATGGAGGAATAGTATTGTGGTGCCGGTATTTAAAGGTTAAGGAGACATACAGGAGTATGGAAATTGAATATGATATGGAGACGGCTAATGTGCGTATAGATGATGTGGAAGATCGTGTCAAGTGGAAGTTTTGGATGAAAGTGGCTGACCCCAAGTAGTTGGAATTAAGACCAGGAAAAAGAAGAAGAAGAATAATTATATTAAATGTTAGTTGGATTTATGCAACTTTTATAAAAATTGTTGGACTCATTACTATGGCAAACCCTTATAAGATATTTTAAAATAAACAAAATAAAAAATAAAATTTTTAACACAAAAATAGCATATATTTTAACTACGGCAGCTATTTACATAAAGAAGTCAGGTCTTCGGGACAATTTTTTTTTTAATTTTTAGTACTTAACAAAAGTTTAACTTGACATATGTTTTAAAGACGCAGTATTTCTGGAACATTTTTAAAACTTAAGTTGAAAAGTTGAGTTTTGTAAAAAAGTTGTTATTTTGAATTCCCCTTCATGAGAAGGTAAAGGGTTATATTATCATAAAATTGATATCAAATGAAAAAAAAATACGTATGGTGTTTATATCAAAATTTTTTTTAGTTAGTTCATTTTTCAATAAGTTATGCCAATTTTTAGAAAAAAAAAGTGAAAAAAATGTCGAAATTTACCTATTTTAATAATCGTAATTTTTTGGGAGATTTTCACCATTTATGGGGAGCTAGGGAAAATTTTTTAACTTTTGAGGGTAATGTCTATAACTAAATACGATTTGTAATCTTTTGACACAATATTCATCAAAATCGGTTTAATGAGAGCTGAGAAAAAGTAATAACAGACAAAAAAAAATTAAACATATCATGGTAAAATTAATATCTTCTCAGATTCGCATCGAAGCTAAAACTGTTACGAACATCAATATTAATATAAACATTTTGCGTCTGATACGAATATCAATAGTTCAGTATGATATATTTATTGTTTACTCAATTAATTGTTATCAGAATTTTTTTTATTGAACCATGATAATATAATATATTTTAGATTTGAATTTATGTATAAAAAATTGGTACATTATTAATGCAGGCCAATTGGGACTGTTTTTAAAGTAAAGGGTGCGATTGCACACCCTGACCCTACCCAAATGTCGCCTTTGGTTGAACCAACGATAAAAAAACAATGAACTACGTTTATTTAGTAATTCCAACTAATAATGAAATAAGATTATTAATCATAGTTGTAATAAAAAAATTTTTGTTGGACACTTTATAATTTATCTAACTATTTACAAAAACTAAATAATCTTTTTTGGTAATATTATAATAAGATTAATCCATTAAGAATAAAATAATTTTAAAGAAATTGTATTTCATTAAAAATGCCATTTTAAGCATTTGAACTAATTTTTTTACGATTTTATTTAAATTCCAATATAAATAATTATTTAATCATGGTATCTAAATAACGTGGCGAATCAAAATAAAATTAAGCAAACTACAATAAAACTTTGAAATTTTTAAAAAAATGTCTAAAATTTTCAAGTTTGAATAAATTATTTTAATAAAAAAAAACGTATTTTTAGCTTCGATGCGAAGCTGAGAAGGTATTGGTTTTACTATGATGTGTTTTTTTTTTTTTTTTTTTTTTTTTTTTT